GAGAGAGAGAGAGAGAGAGAGAGAAATTCACTTCTATTTTTCTAAAAAGAGATCTTTAATGTCCGCCCTGAACAAGGCACAGACGGGGAATGAGGGGAGGTGACACAAATACAGATTCACAATCCACTGCCAGCTGTGGCTCAAGGGTCTCCGCAACTACCACTCTCCCTCTCGCAGCCAAAACTGCCTTTTACTCCCAAACCATTTTGGAGGCGAAAAACAACCCAAAGACACTGTTCACCACCATACATCACCTCCTCCATGCAACCCCCACCTCCCCCCACAAGCTGCCTCCATCTTCACCTCAATGCCAAGTGCAAAGAGGTCCTAGACTTCTTTGTGTCAAAGATCGAAAACATCCACTTGGCTGCATCCTCCTCCCCTATGTCCCTTTCCCCACCCCCCCCAGACGGTCCACACCACGCCCTTCTTCCAACATGGCAGCTACCACGTCCCCCTCCCCACCCTCCTTTGCCTCGATTACTCCCACCTCCCTCCCAACCACCACCTCCCAGATAAAGACCACCACCTGCTAACCAGCTTTGCTCTCACCTCTCCCTCCATGAGCCCCTCCAGTCTAGTTTCCGCCCTGCCCACAGCACTGAGACGACGCTTGTCAAGGTCACAAAAGAATTCTTTTCTCTCTCTTGACCAGGACTCCCTCTGCCTCCTCATCCTCCTGAACCTCTCTGCTGCATTCGATATAGTTGACGACGCCATCCTCATCCACTGCCTCGCCTCCCTCATCCCTCAGTGGGACCGCACTAGCGTGGTTCGAGTCCTACCGAACAAACTGCCTTCACTTTATTTCCTCAAACGGTTTCTTCTCCCGACCCCGCCCGGTTACCACAGATGTTCCATCCTTGGCCTCTCCTCTTCCTCATTGATATGCTTCCTCTTGGCGATGTCATCCGCAGGCATGGGGTACACTTCCACATACATGCAGACGACACACAAATCTACTTTTCCAGCTGCGAGTCCAGGTCCGTCGATGTTCTCTCAGCTTGGATCGATTTCAAGATCCTCACACTTGTTTTCAAATCCATTCATGGCCTAGCACCACCCTACCTCTCCGACCTGCTTACTCCCTCAACCCGCTGCTTCTGCTTGACTGGCACCAGCCTTCTGAATGTCCCCCATGCTCTCCATTCCACTATTGATGGCTGTGCTTTCAGGTACTATGCCCCAAAACTCGGAACACTCTTTTATCCTTCCACCTTGCTCTTTACTTCCCCATTTTCACCAAATGTACACAACACAGGGTAAAAAAGTAGGTAGTCTTAAATATCGTAATACAGTACAAAAACGATTGCCTTGCCAAACTCTGATTATAACTCCTTTGAGAACTGCAACAACGCCTTTGCTGAGCAGTAAGATTGATCTCGGGAATACATCATGGTCTAGTATTGCTTGGAAACCAGGAGGCTATGGCCACAGGTTAAAAGTTGGGTGAATGGATGAAATGGAAAGCAAAGTACAGGTGAGTTTTCAGCTGAGTTTTCAATCAGTATCTATTTCGGATCACCAAACTCTTCACAATGTAAACATTTTATTCTTATTTGCATTTTTACAGTTTTATTCACCAGTTAGCTAAATGCCTCCAGGATATTATCAGTACACAAATACTATAACAGTAAATAGCTAACTAAATAGAAAAACCGTAGTCTCTCCATTCCTGGATTCAGGCAGTCAGTATCTCACAGAAACAAGGTGAATATGTCGGCAACGGTTTAAGAATAAAAACTAACCTGAAAAACAATACACAGTTCATATGCTAACTACACAAGCAGACATACACAACATAGAATATTGCTTTTATTAGGCTAAACATTACTCATTTTTCAATAAATTCATAAACATAATTCCTGCTTCATTTGTAACTCGCATTCAATAAATTTATTAAGCTGATGTGCACTTGCATTTTGTACTCTCTTGACTTCAAGTAAATGTATAGGGTACCTGGATGTTACTGAAGATTCAAATCTAAATATGAGAAACCCATCCAGCCAGCCAACATCGTTGATACACCCTTGAAATAGGCAGAAAACACTTTACCAATCTGTGTTTTTAAAAATAATGCACGATTAATTTATGGTCATTTCCTACAACCCAACCTAACCCCTAGCTCAGGTCACGCAGTAGTCCATAGCTGGTGAAGTGGGTGGACAAATGGTTCCACATGTCTAACAGTAGAACATTAGGCTCCTAGGTAGCCCCAGCTGTATAACAAGAGACTGTAATTAAGATGTCCATTAGCTATTGGAGCAGAGCATTGTAACTTCACGAATTGTTGTCATTATAGCAGTGCCTCACTCAACTCCATTATTTTCCACTGAGCAAGGTTTTCCAGCTCCCAGGACAGAACTTTTCCACATGTTGCAATAACAGGGATGTTGAAATGTTAAAAAGCAATTATGGAGAAGTCAGCGGATTGGGGAGGATAGAGGTGATGCCAGAGCAGATAGCATTCAGGTGGGAAAAAGATTGAAGATAAATGAGATGAAAATAATACCAAATGGTTTCATCATATATTGAATAATGTGGACCTTTTAATACCTGTACCGTAGACAATGAATAATAACTTGCCCTAGTCTGTTCCAGACTACTGAATATAGTCTGTCTACAACACTTGCCTATGGATACAATTCAGGTAGTCTACATAGAAAGGTAGCCTAATTTTAAAATCTATTATTTTATTGCAAAGACCAATTGATGCTTCTCTTTATTCGAGTGGTCTTTAAGGCTGGTTTTCACTGTCTTTCCCTTCCTGAGTTGTTAAGCTATTTTGTAGACATGTACATAATTCTGCATTTAGGTCAGTGTTGCACTTTACCTGAGCTTAATCAACAGATTAACATTTACCAATCTGATTTTTTTAAAAATAATCCAGGATTATATTTTCTTTGACATATCAGACAATTTTATGGTCATTTCCTACACCCCAACCTGACCCCTAATTCAGGCCATGCAGTAGTCCATAGCTGGTAAAGTGGGTGGACAAATGGTTCCTGGGTCTCTAATTCTGACTCAGCTGTGAGATGGGATACAGCAGCTTGGTTGACTTGCATGGCCTATCTTTGCTCTCTTTCCCTGTAGAAAAAGGTCTGGTTTTGAATAAAGAATGCCCTCCTTTTTTGTTTAACAGAACCCGCCTCATAAAGAAAGAGGTCTTTTGATACATTTAAGTCTGTCGTATTGTATTAATTAGTGACACCCTTCAAATGCTCTACAGCGACACCCTTCAAATGAGCTGCCAATGCTCTTTGTCTAGGCTCACACATGAAAAACAGTGACTTCAGCAAGATACCAGCCTGTCAGTACTTATAGAACCGAACTCCAGCAAAGAGGCAAAATAAAATCAACATTGGTAATGTGATGCCAGTGGTAAGAAATTATCTTAAGGTCTTGGTTTCTGATGCTCAATTCATTTGAAAAAAAACCTTCCTCAGGAAATCCCTATTGTCTCCGGCGTCCATTCACAGCTCCCGCACTTTATACACTAATTCCCCATTTTTAAAAAAAAATCAGCAGGAAAACTACCAGAATTTGAAATCAGTAAGATGATCAATTTTGCTTTTCCAACTAGATCTATTAGAAGGTCGATACAAGATGAACCATCTCCCAACAAGAAGTGTGGTGTTTCTCTGGATATGAAAAGTGCCCATTGCAGTTGCACAGTCATGCCACTTTCACTTAATTACAAAAATGTTCCTCGTATAATCAGAAATTATGTTAAAACTACCAGATCACCAAAGCTTTGTAAGAGTTTTTAAAATTAGGTTCTAACAAATGCTCTGAATTTACCAGGAGGGATTTTTGGGGGGATTGGGGGGAATTTAGTTCTGCTTAAATTAAAAATTATAACAGAAACTGGAAACCTGTTGATTATGAAGATATCGTTAACTTAAAACCATGCTTGTAAGTTTCTTTGGTGGTTAGAGATTTTATACCAATTCAAGCAACGTTGGGAAGGCTGTCCAGTAAAACTGTGTGTGTGTGGGGGGGGGGAGGGAATTTGAAGTATACCTTTGGAACACCAACTTTTAAAAAAAAATTAAAATCTAAAAATCTTTTTGGTAGACTCTACATACAATACAACAACAACAACAAAATTACATTTGTATAGCGCCTTTCATGTCCCAAGGTGCTGGACAGACAGTTATGGACCCGAGATGAGGATTGGGGAGGGCAGGGAGGGGAAGCAGGGAGATCAAAAGCATGGATGAAGAGGAAGGTCTAGAGATGGGTCTTGAAGGTGGCAAGGGAGGGGGCGAGGCAGAGGGACTGCGGGATGGAGTTCTAGAGGGTGGGTGCAGAGTGGCGAAAGGCCCACCCGCCGATAGTGGGGCGAGCAAGGTGGTGGACATGAAGCAGGCCGGAGCGCGCTGAGCAGAGGGAGTGAACAGGGTGGTAGTGAGTTAGGAGGTCGGAGAGGTAGGGGGGAGCATGACTGTGGAGGGCTTTGAAGGTGACGACCAGGATCTTGATCCTCTATGTGATGGGAAGCCAATGGAGTTGGGCAAGGATCGGGGTGATAGGGTCCCAGAGCCTAGTGCAGGAGAGGACATGGGCTGCAGAGTTCTGGATGATCTGCAGCCTGTGGAGGGAGGAGTTGGGGAGGCAGACAAACAGCAAATTTGCATAGTCGAGCCTCGATGTAATGAAGGTGTGTATGAGGGTAAAATATAAAATTGCATTGGCATGGCGCCTTTCATGTCGGAAGGACAACAACAACAAGATTCCATTTATAGAGCACCTTTCACGTCGGGAGGACATCCCAAGGCGCTGGATAGTCAAGCATTTGGATCCAACGTGGGGTTTGGGATCAGGGAGGGTAGAGTGCAGGAGGGTGGCTGAAGGCTTATGGAAGAGGAGGTCAAAGAGGAGGTCTTGAGACGTGCCTTGAAGGAAGCAAAGACAAAGCGAGGCAAAGGGAATGTAGGATGAAGTTCCAAAGGATGGGGGCAGAGAGGCTGAGGCCTGACTGCCAATGGTGGGGCGGGCTGGATAGGGGACGTGGAGCAGGCCGACAGTCACATTTGCCCACTTCAAGAGTTCACCTTTGTGTTAACATGCACACTCATTATCGTTACTAACGATATACAAATCTCAAAACCCATGTTTTGAGGGTGAAGGTTGAGGTCTCAGACATACTGCTGTGATCCTGCTTTGTGGGCAAGGTCCTTTGCTTTCTCTGTAGCTGCCAGGGCTGTTTCTTTCGCTTTCTCAGTTGCCTCTTTGGCTGTCTCCCTCAAAGTTTTTGCAGGTGTTTCACCTGAAATGGAGCCATTTTATTCAGTTAAGCAATATCTACAACAGCTGAAATTGCAAAGAAAACTAATGTGCATCATAACTCAGCAACCAAATGGTGCAAATGCCTAAACTGGATAAATTACAAGTTGTGTGGGCTTCGGACTCCCTCTGATAAGCCATACCAGCTGTTGATTGCCCTCTGTATAACAATCCTTTTTGAAGTTTGTCTGAAATTTTAGCTAGTTGTAGCCCTTTGTTCAGTCCAACCAGATTACCACGCCCTCTGGTGTAAACTTACTCAAATTGTAATTTGAGTAACTTGGCCGAGGCTCCACTCTAGCCTCGGCCAAGTCGTCCTTCTACTCCAGGATAATCCTGGAGGCGAAGAACAAACCCAGGCTACTGTTTTCCACCACAACCCGACTCCTCCGTCCCCCCCGCCACCCCGCGCAGGTCATCTCCTCCAACCTTCACTGCGAGGAGATGCTGGATTTCCTTGAATCCAAGATCAAGGGAATCCGCTCCGCGGTCACTTCCCCTCCAACTTCCACCCACCACCCACCCCTTCCCTCCCACACTCCAACTCCTACCCATCCTCTCCTACACACCTTCGTACCCGTTTCCCCACCCTCTGTCACTGAACTCATCCTATCCCTAAAACCAACCACCTGCTCCCTTGACCCCATCCCCACTCCACTCCTTATCTCCCAGCTCCACTTTCTTGCCCCACATATCACTGACATCATCAACCTGTCCCTCTCCTCTGGCTCTGTCCCCATTCCATTAAAAACTACCATCATCTCGCCCACCCTGAAAAAACCCTCCCTCCCTTGATGCGTCACAGCTATCATCTCCGGCCCATCTCCAACCTCCCCTTTCTCTCCAAGGTCTTGGAAAGAGTTGTCGCCTCCCAACTGCGCTCTTTCCTTTCCACCCATTCACTTTTCGAACCCCTTCAGTCAGGTTTCCGTGCTGCCCATAGCACAGAAACTGCCCTGGTCAAGGTCACCAATGATATCCTGACCATCTGTGACCAGGGCTCCCTCTGTCTCCTCGTCCTCCTCGACCTATCGGCAGCATTCGATACGGTCGACCACGCTATCCTACTCCACCGCTTGTCCTCCCACCTCAACCTTCAAGGCACTGTCCTTGAATGGTGTAGGTCGTACCTTTCTCACCGTCTTCACTTTGTCTCGACGAATGGCTTCTCCTCCACCCCCCGTACTGTCTCATGTGGTGTCCCTCAGGGCTCTGTCCTCGGTCCCCTCCTCTTCACCCTCTATATGCTCCCCCTTGGTGACATCATCCGCAGACATGGAGTTAACTTCCACATGTATGCGGATGACACCCAACTCTACCTTTCCTCCTCTACCCTCAACTCCACGACCACCGATGTCCTGACAGCCTGCCTGTCCGACATCGAGTCCTGGATGAGAGACAACTTTCTTCAGCTCAACGTGCGAAAAACCGAGGCCCTCCTGATTGGTTCACGTCAGCGCCTCCGCACCTCAGGCGCTGACACCATCAGCATCCAAGGCTGCACTCTCCAACTCTCAAAGCCAGTCAGGAACCTCGGCGTTTTGTTCGACCCTGAGCTGTCCTTTCTCCCTCACATCCGCACCACAACTGGCACCGCCTTCCATCACCTCCGGAATATCGCCAGACTACGCCATTACCTCACCCCTCACGCTGCTGAAACCCTGGTTCACGCCTTTGTCACCTCAAGGCTGGACTATGGGAACTCTCTCCTCGCCGGCCTTCCCACCACCTCCCTCCACAAGCTGCAGGTCATTCAGAACTCTGCAGCTCGTGTACTGTCCCGCACCAGGCTTCAGGACCACATCACTCCCACCCTCGCTCGCCTCCACTGGCTCCCCATCCCCCAGAGGATTGATTTCAAGATCCTCATCCTCACCTACAAGGCCATTCACGGCCTTGCTCCCTCCTACCTCTCCAACCTACTATCCCCCTACTACCTGCCCGTACCCTCCGTTCCTCTGGCTCCGGTCTGCTCCACGTCCCCCGCCCCAACTGCCCTACCATCGGTGGTCGGGCCTTCAGCCTCTCAGCCCCCAGGCTCTGGAACTCTATCCCCCAGTGCCTTCGCCTTGCTTCCTCCCTTTCCTCCTTCAAGGCCGGTCTCAAAACCTTTCTCTTTGACCGTGCCTTCAGCTCCCCTCTCGACTCTCTTCCCCCTCCTCGCTCCCTCCCTTCCCTCCCCTCACCCTGACCATTTCTCACCTCCTCGCTCCCTCCCTTCCCTCCCCTCACCCTGACCATTTCCCCGCTGCTCGGGTCATGACTCAACTGTGCAGCGCCTTGGGACGTCCTCCTGACGTGAAAGGCGCTTTATAAATGGAATCTTGTTGTTGTTGTTGTAATTGGCTCATTGTACTTCCCTAAATTTGTCTGTTTCCAATAAAGAACAATGATTTACCAATACCAGTTCGTGACTCGGTTTACATTTCAAGTGGAATGAAAGTGTTTGAATTTTGCACGTACCTTGCGTTCCAGCTAGAACGTACTCAAACCCTTTCAAAGTTTTGGTGACACTGTTCTTAAAGCGGGCCAGGCCACATTCCTACAGGAAAAGCAAAGATTGAGGAATAAAAATCACTTGCAACACAGCTATTACAATTCACTTAAATCTGCTGTGTTCTGTCAATCTTTTGTGCTCATTGAGGCAAGAATTGTTCAACTTAAATCTCTCCACTCGCCTGTATAGCTCTCGAGAACCCGGATAGATTTGAAGAAATCCAGGCTTCCCGTTTGATTTGAGTCCAGTTGTTATTTTCAGAACTCATTCCATACACACACCTCTCCTCCACCATCTGCAACAAGATAGCAGATGTAGACAACAGGGTTGATACTTCTCATTGCTAAATAACACAAGAAATCGGCTGCATTTTTGGTTCTTTCTATTTCCACCTGGCCTGCTCAAGAGTTGAGATTCATGATCTTGTATTCCAACATTCTGTTCTGTGTGCTCCTGAATACAGGAATTTTCCTAAGTTTTAAAGTACGACAACAACAACTTGGATTTATATAGCGCCCTACATGCCGGACAGCATCTCAGAGCGCTTTACAGTGACGGATCCCGGGGCCGAGCCAGGGGGAGGGGGAGGAAGGTGACCAAAGGCGCGGTCGAAAAGAATGGTCTTCAGCAGAGACCTGAAAATGGGAAGGGAGGGGGCGAGGCGAAGGGAGTGAGGAAGGGAGTTCCAGAGCCTTGGGGCATAGTGGCTGAAGGCATGGCCGCCGAGGGTGGAACGGAGGACTCGAGCCACAAGGAGGAGGCCAGACCCGGAGGAACAAAGGCAACGTGCATTGTTTTGAGGAGAGAGGAGGTGAGAGAGGTCGGGGGGTGCAGAGGAGTGGAGGGATTTGAAGACAAGGGTGAGGATCTTGAAGTCGATTCTCTCTGGGACAGGCAGCCAATGTAGTCTGGCAAGGACTGGGGTGATCAGGAAGCGGAGTTTGGTGCGGGTGAAAATGCGGGCGGCAGAGTTTTGAATAATCTGGATTTTGTGGCTGGTAGCAGATGGGAGGCCGGCGAGGAGGGCGTTAAAATTGTCCAGCCGAGAGGTGACAAAGGCATGGACCAGGATTTCAGTGGCTTTCGGAGAGAGGTATTGGCGGAGACGGGCAATGCGTCGGAGGTGGAAGAAAGCGGTGCTGGTGAGGGACCGGATGTGGCGGAGGAAAAATAATTGGGGGTCGGATACCCCGCAGGTAACCAGGTGAGAGCGGGAGGAGAAGCTGTTCGTGCAGATGTACTGCTGGCAGTTTGTGAGGTAGGACTCGTGTAGTGGGAATTTGGAAGATAAGCAACAGGAGATACATGCGACAGACCTTTACAAAGAAAAAAGAACCCCAAAAATATAAAACACTTGCAGTCTCCCAAAGGATTAGTTCTCAGATTAATGTGAAACACAGCCACACAGTTCTGCAAAGTGCCAGACTCTGCCGAGTTACTGAAGTCAGTCAGAGAGGAAAATACTTTTTTATTTTGGCTCAGCTTCCCTGGGCTAGAAGAGAGGTAGAAAAANTAAACCTTGGATAGCATTCTCATTGGTGATCTATTCCTGCTGGGAAGTGCATGATGAAGTCAGGATCTGATTCAACTCTGATCTCCCTCAGTTGAACTGCCAGCTAAAACTTGGTCTGATCTGATGAATGCTGAATGACTACTTGGGTTGAAGCACTGAGGGATGTTTGGCGACAATCAAGCAACCCTACAGCATGAATAAAAACCTTCAATAGAGGGGGAAAATTCGATAGGAAAAGAACTTTCCACTCTGTAATGATTTGATGTTGCAGCATTTTAGAATATAACGTACAAACTGTCTAGAAAAGCAAATGTAGAGGTAAAA